AAATACCTGCGGATCTGGGTGAAAACCTGGAAAAACTCCCAAGCCGTAAGCTTGAGCCGCCTACAGAGTCCAGGAACAGACAAAAAGGATTATAAACGCTATGTGGGGAAGGATAAAAAATGAGGGAGACAAGGATATTTGCCTCTCTCTATGTCCAGAAGTGAATTAAAGCCGACACTGGGAACTGGCAGAAGGATTTGGCTTGGAGCAGGGTGGTTGGCCCCACCACCACACCCTCCTGCATATGTGGGTGTCTAATAATATGGTCAACACAGCACAGCATCCGCTGTACCACTGGCAGCCACAGAAGTTTGGTCGAGAAGAGATAGCCATGCAGCCAGAGCATTTAACTTCGGTTTCGGTTTAGGTTTGGGTTTCGGTTTAGTGGGGTCTTGTTCTTTTTTTCGACTGTCAGCAGCTTAGAGGGACCAAAAGGGGAAACACGCCGCCACATTGATTGCACCTCGAATCCCTTTTGGCCAGAAGTCTGTGGCAACCGCTTGCTAACCTGGTTTGTTACCTGATTATACACAGTCGTGTGTGCCGAGTCGTCCTGTCTGTCTATTTGCTCAGTGCAGCGGAAACTCTGCAGATAAGTCAAAGCCAAGTGCAGCCAAGTTAATATTGCATGCGGATAAATTGGAGCTCATATTCCAGCTGGTCGCTGCATCTCCTGCCGTTCCCAGGCTTTGGCTTTTTGCATTTCTGATTTCAGATTTTGCAGTCTGCATTTGATGGCTGAAGTTTAAGTTGTTACACTCGACAATCGTAAAAGTTTAGAGTATATGATTTTTATGAATGCTAAGGAGCTGGGATAAAATATGCAAATCTATATTCTTATAGCTTTTTGAATAATGCAAAAGGGTTTGAAACAGCAAGATGACTGTTTCAAGTTTTTTTTCTCACAATATTTTTTTTTATAATAAATGTACATTAAATATAGTAGGTACTGCTGCGTCGACTCCAGCTATTTTGTTTATTTGGCTCCTCTAAGCATCAGAAACTTAGTCATATTTGGACGAAACTTGCAAAAGTAAGCAAAAGCAAAGTTCTGAAGAGGATAAGTGAAAGGAAATGGAAAAAAATATTTTTAGATTTAAACAGAGAACATCTTTTGAGACATTTTGGACAAAAATGTTGAAACTCTTAAGAGAAAATAAATATTTATTTATTTTATTTGTAAAACGACATTTAAATTAAATAAGTAAGAAATATTTGACCTTATTTTGTATTAAAAATCCATTATCTTTGCTTAACCAAACTTTTTTGTTGCTTGAAACATATACCATAGAAAATATAAATACCATTAATAAGTTTATTCAATTTATCAAACAAGCTTTCAAACTTTAAATTCAAGTTTCCGCATGAAAAGGTTTTAAATAATCCCTCATCAACATTGCCTTAAATTCATCATTTTCCCATTTTCTGCTTTCCAGTTGACCTGGAAACTGAGTTTTCATACCCCTGCCCTTTTTTTTTATGAATTCCCCCGTTATGGGCAAAAGAAATGTTTATAGAACATTTGCTCTGACACATCGCTCAAGATGATATAACAAGGAATAAACATAATCGAATAAATAAGCAACGTGCAACATGGGGAGCAGGAAAATCGAATTCCAGATCTGTCAACTTTTCCTCCAGCAACTCCAGTTTGTGCTGAAGGCTCAGAGTTTGGTCATAAAGGATTTACACGGATGTTAACACGGGCTGACTAAAATATGTAAAATGCTACAATGGCAGTTTCAACAGCAGCCGCTGGATGAGGATGGGTCCTGTTTAAATTTGTTGTCATTTTTGTTTTCGCTCGATGGGGATGGGATGGGATGGGATGGGGGAAATGGGACCTGGGTTATGGCTGTCAGTAATGCTTGAACGCCCCTTGTGAGCACCACTTGACAGGTTTTCTCCCGACGGCTGTTTTGCAAGGGATGAGGGCTCTTGGCCCGGCCAGGATCAACATTCGTCACTGGCGGCTCGGGTCGACATCACTTGGTGATGTGTTTATTATGTGCCTCTAATATATTTATGAGGCGTCTTATAAACGCATTTTCATTTTATTTCGCCATCGCCTGTCGTCTCGTTTGCTCAGCAAACAATCAAAACACAGCCAGCGAAATAAAAATAAAACAAATAACACCCGTAGGTATTTTTGGTTGCTTTCAAAAAATTTGATTTCAAACTCATGCAGACATCATGTGAGCCGCACATTTATCATACGAGGGTAAAATGATGCGCATAATTTCCTTATGAATTTATATGGGAAAAATTATTTTGGGAAGTGTCTCGAGTGGCTTAGTCGAATGAATTACCGCTGAGGAAGCCTTGGAGGAAATTCCGATTTTGATTAAATACCTTTTGGGGAATAATGCGGCTTATTTCCTGTTTCTTTAAAGGCAGTTTCCCCGATTTTAAAAACCCCTCAACACAGTTTTATGACTGCCGCCACCATAAATTAACCCATCTAGGGCATAATTATGTGGAGAAAGCCATGGAACAGCTTAGTTAGAGCTGCCATTCAGCGGCAGGAAGTGGGCGTGCATTTTTAACCAGCATATCTTCCCTTTCTTCCTCTCTGGGAGCTTTGGTCAGGCCAAGCCGAGCATGGCATTTACTTAATTGGCGCTTTAAACTGCAAAATGCAGTCAGTACAGAACATGCACACATATATAAAGTGGCCATGCACGACGTAAGCTCTTGTAGATGTATTAGTTTGGGCCATGTCGTGACTTGGCAAGGACAAGCAGCGGAAATGTGAAAAATGAGCCAACAAAAGCGCGTCGGAAAGGCAGAGTAGAGTCGCACACTCGCATAAACTCTCTCATACGTGTATTTATAGCTGCTGGCATATAAAAGCCATAAGCTGCATTTGTTGGCCCGCAGCTACGAAGCCTTTTGGCCGGGCTAATGGTCGTGGTCCGAGAGCCCCTCTTTAACATCCTACCCACTCATAAGCACCGAAAATGGACGCGTTTTTATTTGCCTTTAATAAAACCAAGAAGAGGCAGCAGGTTATACTGAGGTTATGCTGCAGAACAGATGCTTATACTCTATAACCTCAGGTAAAAAAAACCATTAATTAATTGTAATTGCAAAATAACTTAAATTTTAGTTTGAAAAACATTTCGTTTAAACTAGGGGAAAAGTTTAATTTCTTTTAAAGAAATCAAAACTATGCGCATTAGACAAAGCAGTTTTGAAATTAAATTTGATAAAAGCCAGAATATACAAATTCTATACAGATTTAACCATTATTTATTTTCCATTATAATTACAAGGTCTTAATTTTCTCCTTAATCAAAGCTTAAAGTGTATCCACTTAAATACTACAGCAATAAATTTATGTTGTAACAATAAAATAAAAACAGCAAACATAACAAAGTTTAAATAAAACCATTAGATTTAATTGATGCCCAAGTGTCTGATGTTATTTAACATTTGCTCTAATCTCAAATCAGTCCATTATGCTCCTTTGAGTAAAGGACCTCTGAATAGCAGAGTGCAGCCACAGAAACGCACATATGAAGAGGTAAGCCCCGAGAGATGAACGGTAAAAGAGAGAGCTATCTCCTCATGCAGGAAATTGCGGTCTTTCGTCGTGCAAATTAGCGGCATTAGTTCGGGTAGCCTTAGGTGTGGGGCTGCTGGTCTGCCAAGGCCGAAGGGGGGCGTGGCACATCGGGCAGTGCTATAATGACCAGGGAATGCGTTGACTCGTGCTGCAAACTGCCGCTTTGCCGTCGCTTTCCCCATCGCTGTCGGCATTTTCTCATTTTAATTGATTTAATCGGCTTTGGCGCATGTGTCGCGATCCCCACTCCCATCATTTTCCCCACTTAAATCCATCACTTGCTGCTCATTAAAAAAGGCTCGTGTTGTGTTGCCCCTTTCTTCTTCATGACGACTTTTTTTTTTTTTGTTTGCCCCATTTCCGCTCTATTGACGTATAAACAATTTCTGCGCATTAATTGAATCGCCCTGTTTGTGAGTGTGCGTACATGCGTGCAAGTGTGTGTGCGAGTGTGTGACATGCATAAGCTAAATTAATTGGAGCTTCATTTCGCACACACTCACACGCAGACGAACGACGAATTTAACGTCCTTTCGCTGGCTGGGATTTCTTGCCTCCTATTTTCTTGTTTTTGTTTACTTGCAACAAAGGCAACGAGCGTCCTAATGAAGGTTTAATTAGCAAACACACACGCAGAGACACTCACTCACACACACCCACACACTCGCTTTGGGAAAAATTGGCAAAGGGGAAAGTAGAAAGTAGAAATGGCAGCACAGGATGAAGTCTCGGAATACCATTTCAATTATATTATGTGCTGTGTGCCGTCGTCTAATTCCATTTTTAATTGGTTTATTTTGTATATTTCCTTAGTGATTGATTGATTGATTAAATTGGTTGAAATACAATTAAATAAACGCTTAAGTTGGGCAGGAAGTGTAGAAATAATGGACTGAGGCACACAAAAACACAACGAAGTCACATTAAGGATACAACTTTGAAGGGCCAAATTCTGCAAATATATATAAATTGGCTAACTGCAAAAAAAAGAGTTTAGAAACAAAAAAAAACCCACAACAGGAACAGAAAACGAAAAACCAAAACGGCTAACATTTGTCAGTCCTTTTTGTGTCCGTGGGACAAAAACCACACCTGACAGGCTCTAAGGGGAAAATAAAGGGAACAACAAAAAATATATATGACAGGTAAAAAATGGCTGGGGTGAAAATAACAACTGGGACAGATGCGGTTAATAATTGGCCAGGTGGAGAGCTCTCTTACTTGTCACTCAGCTGAGTTTTTCGGTTTTCTGTTTATTTTTTTGGTCTAAAATAATCCTCTCTAATATGCAAGTCTTCCATTTAAAGGTCGTTTTATTTGAGCCCTGTTTGCTGGCTTTATGAATAAAAACCCATCTATATTTATTAGCATTTCAGTTTCTAGATTCTCATGCTCCACTTATTTTTTTCTTTTTTTTTGTTGCCCTTTCTAGGACCTCCAATCGGAAATTGAAACCCATCGCGTGGTTTACGATCGTCTCGATGGAACAGGCCGCAAACTTTTGGGTTCGCTCACCTCACAAGAGGATGCGGTTATGCTGCAGCGTCGCCTCGATGAAATGAATCAACGTTGGAATAATTTAAAATCGAAAAGTATTGCAATCAGGTAAGTGCTTTTGACTTCTTGTTTTCCCATAGCCAACCTCGATTTTTTCCTTCCTGTGTTACTGCTGAATTGTTTGTCCGGGTGTGGGGGTGAAAGCATTTCTGTTGGTTGGTTCTCCGTTTTTTGTTGTCGGTCTGCCATGTTTATGTTCGTCGGTTCAGAGGAGAAGCTGCAAGGGCTTGCGACCAAAGGATGCTTGAAAACCTGCTGAATAGAATTAAAGTAGCTCCATGCAGTTTTTGGCTTCAGTGTTTAAATGGGCATGAAGTTGAGAGGCGGCCGGGGAGCTTTGCAAATTGCCCAGGGACTTGTTAAACCGCCAGCAGGGCGTATGATGAATGAGGCCGAATCTAAGTCAGATTGCTAACTCGAAAAAAAAATACAAGACTTATCCCTTAACTGCTTTAAGTGTTAATTAAACCGCGTTAAGCTGTGCACAAAAAGAGCAATGCAGTGACAATGTTTAACATGTTGAAAACAAGCCATCTTCCCCCCCATGTCTCTTATGCGTCGGGTTAAGCAACTTTGTGCTGATGAAAATGGGAAAACAACGGCCGGAAAAGCGAGCAGTCGGCGAAGAGATGAAACGAGGGGGCGACACTTTACGGCTGACAAAGCCGCGGAGCGAACGAAAATCAATATTAAAAACGAAACCCGTGAAAAGTGATGGAAAATGTCGAGTGAAGGGCCGAAGCCTTGGTGCACGGACACTGTGTCATTGATGAAATCGTGGGCAAACACTTGCCCAGTATCCTTCGTCCTCCTGTCGCTTTTCGTTTCGCCTTTTTTGTGTATGTAATTTCCCCATTTCATAAATAAAAGCTTGGCTTGAGCACACAAATATTGGTCGCTTGTTGATATTCATGCCGCCGATGATGAAAGTCGGGATCCATGTTTACAAAAGGGGTGCAAAAACTGGGCCAAAATGAATAATGATGATGGTGGTGACACGCAGAAATGCGCCAAACGAGGACCCAGCGGAATCGCATAATGAATATAAATGGCAATTATCCAATGACCAAGCCAACACTGCGTATACGTGACGTTATGCCCAAAACAGTAGGCAACGTTAATGCTTGATCGTTAATTGTAGGTTGCAAAGCTTTGTTACAGTAGAAAGTCAATCTGTTTGTAAAAGCAATAGGAACGTAGGCCTTAGGTCATATATATTTTATTTTTTGTTCTAATTTAGTTAGGCGGAAAAAGTTATCCGTTTTTTTATATAATTTTAATGCATGCTCAAAATAATATTTTATATTTTATAAATTTCAAACTATCATACATTAGAAAAATCTATAATTTATAAATTACTTTAAATATTTTAAAATATCATAATTCATTTGTAACTTAAAAGATTCTATGACCTAGTTAAAGAAATAATACCTTTTGAAGAGTATATCACAATTCGAATATCAACTTTGCATTTGATGCTTGACAAAATTGGCTTTGCATGTTGCTCAAACGTTTTTCAATTAGAGGCAGCAGACAAGATGACGAATGACACCTCGAGAATGGCCAATTTTCCCCAATCTCCCACCGACTGTTAGCCCTCATTATTCTGGAAGATTTCCGTGGACCAAACTTGAGCCACTTCCTTTTTTGTTTGGTTTGGTTTCCGTCCCGCTGTCCGCACTCGTTGTTTGCGCTGAGGATTTGTTGGCTTATAAATTCCTACGAAATATTTTGGACAGCACTTGAAAAGTTTCACCGTAGCCGGCATTTCTCAATTCCTTGCCGTCGCCATCGCCCTCTTTCTATTTGGCTTTGGCCATTGTTCGCTGTTCGTTTGTATTAGCCGCGGCACTTTTTGGCTTTGGGTCATTTTATGTGCAAAGTTTCGTTGGCTCTTTGAACTGTGCAAACTTTTTGCGTGTGGCATCTCTACAGGTGTTCCGGATCTGGTTTATTCCCCCCTCACAGACCCACTGATTGCTGTTTGGGATCTGGATGGGTGTGTGAGTGTGGAGAAGATTGATGAACCCGTGTCTTTTCTACGGACTCATTTCTCTTTAAGTTCGTTTCGGCGGGTTAAAAAATGATTTAATCGACGATGTTTCATGACCAGATTGGTACAGAATTGATGGATACGAAGAAATGACTGTGATCCATCATTGTGGGTATGAAAAGCGCTTGAATAGCACTTAAATTATACAAAGATACCTATTTTATTGAATTTTTTAATAGGGCAAATAAGTTAACTCATTTTAGCTATCGCTTCGGGTTTAATCAATCGTTGCAGATCGAAATGAAGGAAAATATGTTATGATTTTTATATCTTACATTTTTTGTTTTTGATTAAGTTTTATCAGCAATCGTTTCGTTTTAATTCTTTTAACATCACTTATACAGCCTTTACCCATATCAATTTCGCAAGCAATTTGTCTGCCCCACGTCAATAATTGTCTGAAAGGTAGTCAGAAATGTAATCCAAAGTGAGAAAACAACAAAAGGGCTGAAATTTGAGGAGTTTTGTCCGTCTCAAGTTATTTCGTTTTATTATTTGCATGACGGAGAGTGAAAGTGTGCGAAAAGCGGCAGGGAAAAGCCAAGCCAGACGAAGATGAGAGGTGCTGGAGCCAAGCCTTAATTATAAGCAAAACCAGGGCAAAAAAAAATAAAAGGAATTCGCCAAAGATAAACAGACAAAAGGACAGGGCCGGAAACAGCAAACTGAGAATCGAGGAAAAACCAGAGAAAGAGGGGAGAAATGAGATGACAATGAGGCGATGACTATTGTTATTAAGGGGTCGCGGGACTGGAGATTTTTCAGATTTTTTCCCTGTGCTATTTTTCTCCCCATCCGAAGCACAATGGACCAAAATATGCCAGGACGAAATAAAATGTGAATAAAATGTCATGGCATTTCACAATTTCAGCGACAGCTGAAACTTAGCATAGACCAGTCCCATTTGTGTCTGTGTCTGCGTTTGGGACCTCGGCCGAATGCCAAATGCCAAAACAGGACACTTTAATAGACCTCACTTAAGGAGGAAATTTGTGGGGCACGAGGAGCAGGACACGGGGGAGACGAGAAGCGCCGGAAGGCGGGCGGAAACTCAAGGAAATAGACAAATTGTCGCTGACATTTTGTGGGTGCAATCAGCACAGATGCTTCCTCGTCTGCTCTAAAGTGCAAATTAAATTAAATATTATTACAGCACTTTTTCGTGGGCACTGAGAAAAACAATTGTGGTATAGTCTTTGAAAATAGGTACATGATAAAAATAATAATTTATCAACTCGTAGGTAAAATGTTTCAATGAGATTAATAAAATCTATTCTTTATAACTAAATACATTTATTAATTTTATTCATGTACTTCATTTTAAATTTAAGATTTAATTATTTTAAAAAAGTTTTTTTTTTCTTATTATTTATCTTATTTCTTCGATGTATTTTTAATACTATTGAGCGAAAACAAAACATTTAAAACGGTTTGGCAAATTTTAAAGCTCGTCAAATTATAAGTGAATACAAATATTTTGTATAATAATAGGAAACATAGTGTTTATCCTTAGAAATTGGAGCTTTAACGAAAGCTTTAGTCATAAAACATTTTTTTTCTTAGTTAATTTTTTCTTGTGTATTTTTGGTTTCCTAGAACGCATTTTAATAGCCGTATTCCCTTGTTTTCCTGCAGGAATCGCCTGGAGTCCAATTCCGAGCACTGGAACGCCTTGCTCCTGTCGCTTCGCGAACTGACCGAGTGGGTTATCCGCAAGGACACCGAACTGAGCACTTTGGGCCTGGGTCCCGTTCGAGGCGATGCCGCTAGTCTGCAGAAACAGTTGGTAAGTCCTGGCGTTGGGGTCACTAGACCTTTTTTTTATTTTCAACGACCCAATTTTATACCACTTTTTTGTTTTTTGTTTGTGCTGAAGGAGCTCCCCGGGGGCTGCACCTCAATTTGTTTGGCCGCTTGGCCAACTAATTGTGTGGAAGTTTTTGCCCGCCCTGGTATCTTGACCCGTTTTCAGGTCTCGGTTTTAATGATGCCAAAAGTGACTTGGCCAGCTGCCACTTTGCATTTTCTGTCCTATATTTTCTGACTCATAATTTAATACTGACCGAAAAATATTAAAATTATACCCATGTAGATGATTATTCAAATGCCATGTAAGCCAGTAATGGGAATTTCATAGGGGCTTAATGCACACATTTGATAAAATACACATTTGTGTTTCGAATTGGCAGAAGAGCAGTCAGCTTTTGTTCACCACCCAATTCTATTTCTATAGAGTTTTGATACACATAGTAAACAATGGCTCATGATGGGCTTTCTAATTATAATTTGGTTGATTTGTGGATTTCATTGTTTAAACTATTTGACTGAAAGCAGAGAAAATATATAGTTATCCAATTGTAGTATACAAGTACATGTACATTTGAATTGGTTTTTTAACTAAAAAACCCCCTGTCCGACAAAATAGATTTCTCATTACCTGGGGAAAATACATCAATTTCTATAAGTTTATGTTGGGGACCATATCAATGTATTTAATGGCTTGCCATAGAAACCTGAGTTAAGCCACAGGACCTCGATTCCAAGTTGATTCAACTTGACCGAATTTCGCATTCGACCTCGCCCACAACTGCGTTTGGAATTCTTAAATAATTGTTAAATGATGCTTGTTATGTCAAAAACAGGGACCCACTCACACATTTTCCCACATCCTTCCTCACATGGGGGAAAATCACTTAGGAACCTGCCTGAAAAGGAACCAGGGAAAAAGTGGAAGGCAGAAACCAAGCAGGCCACTCTCCGAATGGGGAAACACTGTCTAACACAGCATGAGGCACTTGAATTTCACTTGCCCCCACTTAGAGCCCCAGCTCCAGGAATAAGAAAGCGGAGAGCAGCTGGAAAAAATGAGTCAACTTTCACCCCGCAGTGAGAGAAAGGGAGGGGGCATCAGCAGGGAGCACTGTATAAATCTATTGCCTGCCACTAAGTTACGGTCTGCCGAACATTTACATTTCGGCTTCAAGATTTTATTTGCCAGCGGACGAAGGATTCGGCCAAAGGGCCACAGAAGTCCGGGTCCAGCCCTCTGCCCTCTGAGTTTTATATTGTTGCATTTTGTTGTTGCCCAACTAAATGCATTAAACACGAGAATTTATTGCCCTGAGCTGCAGAAGTAGCTACAACTAATGCATTCGGCCTTTAATTTTATTGGGGTTGAAAAGGGATTCAGTAATGCCATAGGTTTCACCGAAATGTTCAGTGTGCATGGTTCTGTATCCCAAGATTTCGGTCACCAAAAACACAGGTACTTTTCCCTATACCTAAAAAATAGCCTTTGTATACACATAGATAGGATAAACCTAAAAAATAGCCTTTGTATACACATACATAGGATAACGGAATTTCTGATTTTAACTAGAAACTATCCTGACGGCTGAGAGGCAGAGAAAGAGAGAAGTCTCTCTTAGAAACATTTGACTAGCTCAACTAGATACTAAATTATTTTATAACAGGTATATTAATAATTTCAAATCAGAGCGCCTTAAATTAAAAGACCGTAATTATATATTATATTTATTAATTATATATTTTAATTATATATTATAATAATATTATTCTTAAACAATTTAAACTATCTAAATAAAAATTTAAAATATATATTATTCATAAAAATTAACTGACGATTTTAAATTTTTATCATATTCTTACATAGTTAAAATTATTAAGAAAAATGTTGTTTGTTATTTATCATATTTTTAAATCAACTCCAGCGCTCAACCGGTACAAATACAGCGCCTGCGCTATCGGATTAAATGTTATGTAATGTAAAACAAAAATTCTAGGCTGTTACTTAACATATTTTAAAATCAGATCCTGATCTCAACAGAATCAAAAACAGTTTCAGCGGTTAACCTGTTCAAACGACTATTTTACATTCCAGAATTTTACATTAGTTCACTATTTCGCCGCCAGGGGGCGACAATGAGAGTAAGGATATATGCAACCCGCCAAACGGCCAAAGCGCCATCTATGTCTCAGTATGCGCGGCTTAGCTCGTAAAGCGTCATCTAAGAGTCATTAATTTTGGGTTGTGTCTTGACTATATGAGGATCAATTTGACAGGATCCCTTTGAAAACTGTGATTACATATATCCTTACTCTCATTGTCGCCCCCTGGCGGCGAAATAGTGAACTAATGTAAAATTCTGGAATGTAAAATAGTCGTTTGAACAGGTTAACCGCTGAAACTGTTTTTGATTCTGTTGAGATCAGGATCTGATTTTAAAATATGTTAAGTAACAGCCTAGAATTTTTGTTTTACATTACATAACATTTAATCCGATAGCGCAGGCGCTGTATTTGTACCGGTTGAGCGCTGGAGTTGATTTAAAAATATGATAAATAACAAACAACATTTTTTCTTAATAATTTTAACTATGTAAGAATATGATAAAAATTTAAAATCGTCAGTTAATTTTTATGAATAATATATATTTTAAATTTTTATTTAGATAGTTTAAATTGTTTAAGAATAATATTATTATAATATATAATTAAAATATATAATTAATAAATATAATATATAATTACGGTCTTTTAATTTAAGGCGCTCTGATTTGAAATTATTAATATACCTGTTATAAAATAATTTAGTATCTAGTTGAGCTAGTCAAATGTTTCTAAGAGAGACTTTCTCTCTTTCTCTGCCTCTCAGCCGTCAGGATAGTTTCTAGTTAAAATCAGAAATTCCGTTATCCTATGTATGTGTATACAAAGGCTATTTTTTAGGTTTATCCTATCTATGTGTATACAAAGGCTATTTTTTAGGTATAGGGAAAAGTACCTGTGTTTTTGGTGACCGAAATCTTGGGATACAGAACCATGCACACTGAACATTTCGGTGAAACCTATGGCATTACTGAATCCCTTTTCAACCCCAATAAAATTAAAGGCCGAATGCATTAGTTGTAGCTACTTAAAGCTGTAGTTGTATTAATTCATGGAACTACTGATTGTAAACCCATTTAATTAATAGTATGAGATCTCGACAAGATCTCCACCACCATATACTCTATGGTGCATCTACATACACACAACTATTCAGTCGCCATCACAGTTGTTTGAGAACCATGTACTTCTAGAAATTTTCCACCCTCACACACACAAGCAAACACGCACTACCGTTAACCAATCGAACTACATCTTTAAATAAGTTGATACTCTGGATTTTTGGATATAAAATGTGGTGCATCCATGGTTACAATATTCATTTCAATTTGTAAACACAATTTGTAAACATGAACACATCAAATACTTCCGTGATCTTCGTTGATGACATCACTGAGAAGTTAGTTCACGATGTTGATGCAGCTGCCGATCTTGATATGAATATTCAGCGCTCATTTTATCCAGCTATTACATCAACCCAAGAAATTCCTGAGGACCTGCAAAACTTAGAATTGGATGAAAATCCAATCGGTATGAGCTCCCAGGAGTATTTGGACTCCCAATTACGACGGAATGTGGAAGAAGAATCGTTCGCCTGGATGCTTACAGCCTTTGGACAACCAATAGAGGTGGAAACCATACCGGACTTCCCTGACGATGACAGCGTATTTGATGGAGTGGAAGATGCTGACCCAAATCCTTATTTAGATTTACTTAATGATAGTTGGAATCAAGAACTTTGTAAACAATAAAATAAATAAATAAATCATTAAAAAGTCAATATTTAAAAAATCTTTTTATTTATTTTAAATATCTTGGAATACTTCGAATTTAACAGGAACCTTGCAACCAATAAGAAAAATAAACAGAATATTAAAAAATCAATATTTTAAAATTTTTTTATTCATTTTGGATAGCTGGAAATACATCGAACTTAACATTGTTTTGATGTAGTTATGTTCGGTTCATTAAAATGTTCGTACATAAATTTGATGTTTTCTTTAAGATGGAAGTTATGCTTCAGTAGTGTATGCATATACAAATTGTGTCGCAGCCAGAATTTTGTTATTTCAGGACAAAAACCACATTGATAATAACACGATTTCGATTTTGGATAGCTGAAGTTGTGTATTTTCAAGGTATGGTGTTTTAAACCATTACGAGTAGAAAAGGTTTTCGGATAAACACACAACTCACAAATAAACGCTTCCATTCCGATTCTATAATGAACTGAGGAATATCAGATGAACATGACCTTTAAATATGATTTTGAATTGAAATTTTGAATATATGTGTTTATATACTTTTGTCCATAATATATATTTGTATATTGTATATATTTATATACTATTGTACATAATATATATATATTTGTATATAGTATATATTTATATACTATTTTCGTTGTAAATAAGGGCTTCGAGAGTATAAAAGGCTATGTATTATTCTGTAAGTAAATTAGTACACATTCGGTATTTACCAGAAAATAATCAATTCCTACAATCCCAATTCAAAATGGTATGTGTGTTTAAATGTTTATATAATATAATATGATAATTAACTTGATTCTTCAGGACTTCATATCCACCCTAAATGAGTTAAAACCTCTGATTGGTTATACAAAAATTGAAAATCTATGTATTGGATTTGAATATAAAATCATTGGATGTAAACTAAAGAAAACACCATATGGAAATAAAATAGCTCTTTATTTAACAGACAAGGACAACGAGCATATATGGGTTTTTCTACCAAAAAATTATGTAAACAAGTTTTCTACTAAGACACCCTTTAAGAAATTAAAAGAGAATGGTATTTCTCATCTTGTATATAAGGGGAAAGATATGAACAAATACAGTCCTGTAAACATTGAATTTT